TTTCCTACTCTCTTTATGCTGACGATATACAGATCTCCTCATCTTCTTGCAATCTTTTTAGTTTTGAGCGGCAGTTACCACTGGCTATAAACAAACTTTGTAAGTGGGCAGACGAAAATGGTTTCAAGTTCTCTGTTGCAAAGACAGTATGTGTGTCTTTTTCCTTACGTCGCGGGCTCTCCTCATACCCAGCTTTGGAACTAAACGGGACTCCGATTCTGTTAGGAAGGAGCACAGATTTCCTGGTTATAAATGACAAAAAACATACCTTCATTCCCCGCCTGAAATTTCTCAAGGAAATTTGCCTTCCTTCCACAAACTTTCTGAAAGTTTTGGCTCATAAATCATGGGGGTCCGATCGGAAATATATTTTGCATTTGTACAACGCGCTTGTGCGATCTCGTCTTGATCATAGCGCCGTGGTGTACGGATCAGCTCGCTCATCTGCTCTCAAGATGTTGGATCCTGTACATCATCTTGGTTTGCGTTTGGCAACGGGTGCTTTTCGCACGTCGCCTGTACTTAGTTTGTATGCGGAATCAAATGAGATGTCGCTGTGTAAAAAAAGGTCAATACCTCAGTCTAACCTGCGCGTCTAGGATCCTAGCAAACCCTGATCACCCAACGTATCATTCCGTAGAAATGTCTCAATTCTACTGTCTCTTTGAAAATAAGCCAAGCATTGTCAGACCTTTAAGTTTTCGTATAGAGCAATTTCGTTCCTCACTCCAACTTCGTCTGGACAAACTTAGCCTAGTTCAGAACACAGTCTGCGTTGCGCCCAGGAATGTGGTGTTTGTTTTTTGCGACTGGACTTCAACTAAGTTTAATAAGAATAGCATACCAGCTCTTGCGATTCAGCAGGAATTCATTCAACTGGAAGAGAAATATAAAGATTATGCTCACTTTTACACGGGCGGTGCAAAGACTTCATCTTTTATCGGTTGTGCCGTGCATTCAGGTCGTTCTGTTAGAGTCAAATGTCTAGAGGAATTTGCGAGTATATTTACTGCTTAAATCTATGCTGTGTCTTTTGCGTTGGATTATATTCTGAAGACTAAAACTAGACGGACCGTAATATTTGTGGACTCTCAGAGCGCCATAACTGCAATATGCTCTCTAAAAGCCACTAAGAATATGCTTGTGAAGCAGGTGCGAAGTAAACTTAACGGAGCTTTACGTAAAGGTCACAATATAAAATTCTGCTGGGTTCCAAGTCATGTGGAAATAAAGGGTAATGAGGAGGCAGAGAGGCTTGCTGCATCTTCATGTAACTGCTCTCAATATGAAGCTAGCTTGCCCTATCACGATATGAAATCATTAATTAAGTCGTCACTTCTTCGTTTATGGCAGACAGAGTAGGCCATTGAGACTAATAACAGGCTCCATGTAAGCAAACCAGTCCTTGGGTCTTGGGAAAGCTCATCACTTAAGAACCGGTGTCACGAAGTTTTATCGTGCTGGCTTCGAATTGGGCACTCTTTCCTTACACACATGTATCTCCTTTGTGGGAATGATCCACCAGTTTGTGAGCACTGTGGAGATCATCTTACTATTCTCCATATTTTGTGGCTTTGCCCGGAATTTTACACTAAACGACGTGCTCATTTTCCATAGTTTTTTAGATTCTGTATTCCATTTCATCCCGCTCTCTTGCTGGGAAGGCACCCTCTCGTTCCTCTTGACTGAGTTTTATCATTTATTACTAGTACTGGCCTCATACACCAGATCTAGTCCAGCTATGTTCATGATCACCTTTTTGTAATGACGTGACCGTAGGAGCTTCATTAGTTAATTTAGTCTGGCGCAGTATGGCCTCCGTTGCTGTTGCGCCATGAAACCCATAAACAACAACAGCCCCTCCCACCCAGATGCGCTCATTGCTCGGGATACCCTGACACACCGCAGGTGCTCTGGGACTGCCCATGTACCCTTCTATTTCGCCAGCAACACCTTGACACCCTCGCACCCAGTTCCCAACCTCATTCTCTCCAGGAGTGGCTCGTTCCCCCTGAAGTTGCGGACGCAGTGGCATCATAGAATAATATACACAGGGTAAAGAGAGGACACTGACATAAGGCCCCAGCGGCCCAGATACACCACTGACAGCTAGCGCTCCTAGCGGGCGGCGTGAAACGTAATTTGGTTACGTATCGTTATTCCCTGGTACCCTTCTCTCGTTGGCCGTCATTGGCTGCCACCCTCTTCTGGAGGGAAGCGAACTGTAGGCCTTTTGTGCACCGCTTATATGCTCATATTTCTGTGGCACGAATCTATCTCTTCGTCTGTTTTAAAAGTATTCGTGTAAAAGAAAAAGATTTTTTTAATACAGACTATACATATATATACCTGTCTAAGAATCTAGAAAGAAAACGACACGTGATCTATACTGCCAATAATGCCCATTCCGACATCCTATACCTAAAGCAAGGTAGTCACCATGGTCACCGATTGCCTAAGAAATGCGCCTTTTATTGTGTTCAAGCTCTTTTTGGTTTGTGATGGTTCGTCGACGTTCTTATCGGGTCACGATCTGATTGTCTGCGCAGCGCTAATGCGGAGGGCAAGTTCGTCTGCTTCTTGCGCAGGGGGTAGCGGTGACGTCACATCGCCGAGCCCCGATTGGCTGATGGCGCCCCCCTATCTGAGCGTCGTCTGCTCCTTTGCAACGTCGTCTGCTCGCAACGTCGTCTGCGTCTGTCTTACCTTTCCTGCGACTTTCGGAAGTGCAGAAGCCAGATTCATGAAACGATCTTACGCCAGAAATGTGCGTAAGACATAACTTAAGATCAAATTCGTATTCACGAAACGAAATTTTTGTAAGTTTTGCGCAGGTTACGACGAAATCCTACGACAGCTCCGAAGCTGTCTTACGCACCTCTTACAATCAGATCAGCATGGCCGACAGCGTCGCGGTCGCGACGACCCACGGAAGTTTATTTTTCTACGTGCGCTTCTCACGCGTCCCGACTTCAAGCAACAAGAAAAAAGTAAAAAGTACTTGGAACAGATTACGACGAACAAGAGCGCTGGATCCACAAACACCCGGGAAAAGCTCCAACGGCCATGATTCCACCGAAAAGCGACCAAGCGAGCACGGCAGTTAGGCCTAGCAGGCACTCCGCGACTCGGCGGCCGTCTGCCCCCGACCGGCTGGTGTGCTGAATGGAATATGCCCGCGCGACCCTTGTGAACCCTTCCCGAATTATACTTTGATCGCTGACCTCTGTTTTAGATTAAGAGGTCAATTTCTTCTGCTTGTTATCTCCTTGTTTCCCGAGGAAACGGTGACTCTCGCCGGTGAAAAAGCGGTGAATCCCCAACAGACGCAGGAAAGGTAAAGCAGCCATCGCTTTGACTAGCAGACGTAAAGCAGCCGACCCGCCGGCGCCGCTAAAGAATGAGGGGCCTCGCCACTCACGAAAGGAGGGAAAAAGTATTTGGAAGGAAACTTGCGGACACAACACGGCTATAACACGCTCACTCTCGGTTCTTAGCAAATAAACCTCGGCGCCTCGGGACACCTCGCCAGTGAGTCCTTTGATTTCCCTCCTTGATGCGCGTCTGCTAGCTCTTAGGCAAAAACAACGTACCGCTCGAGTTATTTCGTCTGCCCTCTCTGAAAGGCGAAGTCGAGCTCGCTCGTAAAGACCTGCACTTCCGAAAGTCGCAGGAAAGGTAAGCCAGACGCAGACGACGTTGCGAGCAGACGACGTTGCAAAGGAGCAGACGACGCTGAGATAGGGGGTCGCGATCAGCCAATCAGGGCTCGGCGTTCTGACGTCACCGCTACTTCCTTCCTCATGCGCAGAAGACGAAAATGAGCCCACTTGCAAGGCGTATAGGATTCTCGAGACTGACCACGCAGAGTATTTCTTAAGCCGTTAATGTGTATTGATGTTACAGAGCTGCCGAATTAGTGTCATTTGGATGCGACGCAAACGGGTCAAAGAAGAATTATCCCAAACGCAAGTAAATATTTGTTATAGTCGGATGCAACCTAAGAACAATCTTTTAGCTCCACCCACAAGCGCATTGCGCCCATCTGAAGGGCCTCCGCCGTCGAGAAAATAGTTCGGTAGCAACGTTGCGTTTTCTTCCTCCAGGAAACGTGTCTTAAACTACTACAATATTTATTTAATTCATTCAGGACATTTAAATAAGTTAGAATACGTTTTTGTCAACGAAATAGCTGTTTAGTAAAGAAAGAAAGTCATGTCCAATGTACCGTCTTCCCAATTCATTTTCTGTGCAAGATACCGTCTAACATACTGTCTAACATACCGTCTCACCTCTCAGCAGTGCTAAGCCTCGCGCCCGCTTCGAAATTTTTGTTGGCGATAGCGTCGATGGATTCTCACGTTGTCGCGCAAAAACTGCTGCAAACGCAAGCCGAAACCATTACGATTTCGTGGCGTAACCTCGGGCACGTAAAACACGGTGCAAAAACGCAGAATAATTGTCACGAGAAACTAGCGTCGCGTTGCTAAAACCAGCAGCCATGTTGAGCTTTTTTTTTTTTTTTTTTTTTTTTTTTTTCAAAAGGATTGCGATTGGTTTACGGAATCGTGACGTCATGCATGAAAACGATTGGCTGGCGTTTCTCGGCGTAGGATTACATTTTCCTCCGAGAGGCATTTCCGGTTTTTTCTTAGCTTGCAACCGACTATAGAATGTTAAGGGACTTTTCCAACAAAGAAGTACAAATGAAAATGGGTCTAACTAAAAAAGATCGACATGAGAACGGGACGTTTCGACATGTGTTCAGTAAAATTACATTTTATTGGTATTTCTCCCCCGTCCGTATTTGCCACCGTGGCCAACTTCCATTGGCGCGCGGGGCTGTTGCTTGCACCCACGGGCTTTGCGTGCATCCGGTACCGCTGCCGTTGGTGTTGCCAGCGTGATGGGCGTCGGACATATCGTTGATAAATTTACAACGCGCACGAGGGTACGAGAACGACCCAAACGTTTTTTGGGGTGTTGGTTTCCCGACGGAATCACCACCAGCCGCCATGACCGCCGCCACCACCGTATCCGCCACCACCGAATCCACCTCCTCCGAAGCCGCCTCCTCCGAAGCCACCTCCGCCGTGGGACACCGTGGTGTAAGTGAGCACCGGCTTGATCGCGTGCGAGACGGTGGCCACGGGTTTGGCGACGTAGCTGACCACGGGCTTGGCGACGTAGTTGACGCTCACCACCGGGGTCTTGACGTACGAGACCGAGGCGACGCCCACGCTTCCGCCGTCGTCACCGCCGCCGCCGAATCCACCACCGCCGCCGCCGCCAAAGCCGCCTCCGCCGAATCCACCGCCGCCGAAATGGCCGCCGCCTCCTCCACCACCGAAGTGACCGGCGCAGGCCACGGCCAGAAGGCTGGAGAAGATCACGACCTGCGGAAAGAGCGGCGTGAGAGGCGATTCTAAACTTCTCGATTGAGATAGCTAATACTGCTAATACATCATATAAAACGCAGTGTTTAGGCTTTGTCTCAAGTGTCTTTTTTTTTTTCTTTTATCCAATCACACTGGGAATACAAACAGTGCCTGCGGACATGTTCCAAGCAGCCTGAGACAATCTGACTTCCAACAGGTGCGTCCGCAGATATTTTTCTCATAATATCTGCAGCTATGAGTTATGAACTATGAGTGACTACGGCTTAAAGAGAGGGAAAAGTGAATAAACTGTTAACACTGTGATACGTCCGCCTTTGTTTCGGAGTGCCACTCCCCTTTTCTGAGCTTTAAACCAAGGCGAGAGAATACTCAGTCCGGGGACTGTGAACGTCCCCGCAGCGTCTGAGAGCCCGCAGAAGGGAGTTGCTGTGAATGCACAAAACGCGCTTCACAACCCAGTAGACCACGGCCGTCACAAGGTGGTCTAATGAAGCAGTTATTTATATTGACACAGGCGTTCAACTTTTCAACCTCCTTACATAACGGTGCGCTTTGAATGTCGAGTTCGACACAACTTCGCTTAACTCCTCGGGGGTTGTTCTTTTCAATTGGTTACAATTCAGTTTCAATTCTTTAGGTGGACTTTGTCCCGTAAATTGTCCCAACCTTTATCGTGAGCTACCGAGGCGTGCTCCAATTTAAAATACTTTGGTTATCTAATATAGGTACTAATCACATTTGAGCTCTATGTGTATAAGTTCTAAAGCATTCTTTTTATCTCCATTTACCCAGCAGTGCCAAAATCAAGCAGTTTCTGGGATTTATACTAAGTTACTTGGAGGTTAAATCTTGAGAGAATCTAGTTCTGCAATCTTTTCTTTCTTTACTAACTACGCCGATTTGAATCATTGGAGGTTTTTGAGGAGATATCTTACGTTCCATCCCCCGTTTCCCATGCAAAAAAAATATTTAGTGCCTTATGGTCGTGTTTTGGCATTCTCTTAAATGGTTATTACACCAACTATTGCTTTCAACCTAGTATGCCTCCCATTAAGCCACACTGCGTGGTTGTATTTGCCTAAGCCTTTCTATAGCAGCCGGGAAGTCAATAAATCAATAAAATATTAATATATTTTCTTTAAATTTTGGCGTATGTCTAACATTTTTTGAAAACGAATGTTTTTTAAAGTTAATGAGGTTGGCGTAAAATTCGGTGAGCGTTTCGTAACGTAAGACATTATATTAAAGTTTTAAAAAAATCAGTATAGTGATTTATACCTTCAGAAATTGCGAAATGCGTTTCACGTTCCAGATATGTGTATGCAAATTAGTTATCGCCACATTTATTTAGAAATATAGAGAATAAAAGTTGTGCCAGCACAGTATATAGGTATTGGTGTTGAGCATATAGACAATTTGAAAGCACATCGTTAACACGGGGTTGCTCGTAGTCGGAAGTATGCATTATCAGAAACATTCCTTGTTTTCTGTAATAATGTAGAATGTTTCCTAACTAATCGTATAGGATTATAACATATATAACTGTCGTAAATTCCAAAACATTAGTTATCACGCCGCGTTATTACTAAATGTATACTTTCATATCATTCAGTCCCGTTGGAATGGCAGAAATATTTGCCCTAAAATACAGTGGCTTATAAATTTGCGCCGGAAGACGGATCTCCTTGACTCCGACCTGCCACCTCTTCGTCAGCCGCTATCCGTCTCGAGAAAACCCAGTACACTCCGTCGCATACGATGCGATGGAACTTAGTGCGAAGCGGACCCTATGTTAGTCTAAAACAAAGAGCGGAAAGTTGAGGGTGGAAGGCGCGGAGGAACGTTGAAATATCTTGTGGCTTCTCGGGCCTACGCGAGCTGGAAGTCTCGGCTCATGCGACGTCTTCGAGCAGGAGGGGAGCTCGGAGGCTAAGACCGCGAACACAGGAGACACTCAGAAGCGCCTGGGCAGAGGTCCATTGCACCTCGGCACACCGCACGGAGGCTATACTCACGGAGGCTCGCATGACTCGCATCTCAGCAGGCCAGTGGTGACGTTTGGTCCGAGTCCCTCCGGCTTTTATACCTGAAGTCCGTGGCGAGAAGAGAGCTGCAGCGCACACACACACAAAGCGGAGGGAGGAAGCGCAGGGGCGGAAGTGGCGGGTCCATTAGACGCTTCACGCGTCCGAGAGGCCCGCTCGAATCGCTTTCTGCTGACCGCGTTCCAATGTCAGTCGTAAAAGCGAGGGCGAAAAGATGCGTTTGTCTCGACCGCCTTCTGCTCCAGAGCTGGTCCGATGTCCGTTCCCGGGGCTGTACCCAGGAAATGGATGACGACGCGCCGGAGGCTTTGTTTCGCATTGAAGCCCGAGTCCCACCGGAGCGACAAACGGAAATAAATGACGGCGACGAGCCTCAAACCAAATTCTTTCGCGATTCGACAGGTTTTGTAGAATAAAGGAGGCTGTGCTCAAACAGGAGCATCATGCACGCGGGGCTCGCGATCACTTGTGCCCACTTCTCGAGCAATGAACGATTCAACGCCTGCCGAAGGTATAATCACGAGCATGCTGCGTGTGTTTGAGGCTTGTCGCTGTCGTTTGTTTCTGTTTGTCGCTCTGGTGGGACTCGGGCACAAGTAGTACCGCAGCCGACGCTATGAAGACAATCAAGCTGCGCTAAAAGTGGATTGTCAGGGCGTTTTTGGACGTTTAATAACACCGACGAAACCAATGACTCACAACAAATGCGCAATTATCCTAATCTTTTTTTCTGTGTGTGCGCGATTGTTTTAGCCGGTAAAAGCGGACTCGGAAACGTCAGTGAGCCCTGGGACGACGCCTATCTGCACTGCTTGTCTGTCGGATCGTAGTACCAGCTGTGCTTGGACGCAAAGTGAAACTACAGCCTTGTGAAACAGAGCAGGTGGATGCGGTAATAAACGCCCCCGGCTTCGACATATCCGGGGTGTTTTCTTTCTATCATAACAGATTTTTTTAGAGAAAGCCGCGCAAGCTACTAATGCGGTTTTCGCAGGTGCGTCATACGTCCGGAGGGACAAAATATAGGGATATGATCGTAACGATCACTCGCATAAAAAATAGAATAGATTAATTAATGCTTTATATTATCGAAAACCAACCTATAGTTTTAATTAGAGACACGAGAAAAATCATCAAAAAGCACCGAGTCAGTCAATGTTGTCACGAATGACAGTTGATGGGGCGACGGAAACTGAAGCAGAAATGTGCCCAAAACAAAATAAAACAAGGCTAGCGTTGCAGGTGTCGATGGCGGCGAAACAGCAGGGTCGAGAGCTGGGGCAAGACTGACTCCCGCTCGCTATCCGGAGTCCCTCATGTACCCGCGTGGGTTGCTGGAACATTCTGCCTAGAACATTCAGGCGAGTAGAACATTCGTACCTCGATCAGACGACAAGGTTCTCAAACTTACGAGAAGGCTAAATTGAAAGAAGAAATAAAGAACGCGCCGCTCCCAGGAATCGAACCCGGGGATTCCGCACGAAGGGCAAGCACGGTTACCACTCGCCTGCGCTCCTTGGGCGACGCGCGTGGCAATATAAGAAAAACTTGGAGCACGTGCGAAGCAAGGTGGATCGCTCAATTTATCGCTCGCGCAGCAGGAGCGAGGCTACTGGTGTGATAACGTCTCATTATAATCCGCGTATTCACCCCAGCCTTCGCCTGTTGCTGGAGTGGTAACAGCAAGAAGCACTACTTCGCTTCCCCACACCTTCAGTTTTTCGACAAATTATTAATTTAGTGGTTTTCAATGACGCTCAACAACTTGTTAGCTGGAACAATTAGTCACTAACAAAAAGGTTACTTAACAAATTTTAGATAAATATTCACCTTATGGCTACGGTTGCGCCTCTATATATCGTGTACCCCTTGCCGCGTAACTCACCTGTACAAACCGCGCTAGTGCTGTTCTTACTGCTTTATTTTAAACAAATATGTTATCCTTAAAATGAAACACCCTGGTTATTACTCTTATATTAAGTAGTGGTCACACTGCTAATGGGTCTTTTGATCTCAATCCATACACGGTTTCGAAGTCGAATTTTTAATTTTTAACAAAGAAAATGTTTGGGAGCATTCTCGAAATGAAAGAAAGCCGAAACGGCAAACTTGATGGAGTGTTTGTTTTCGAGTCATTGACCATTGAAACGACCGAGGCGAGAACTTTTCTTCCACCGGTCAGTCATTCCATGTTCGACCGCCTCGCTGTTTTTTTTTTTTTTTTCTTTTTTTATTTCTTTGAGACTTTTTTTTTTTTTGTGACACTTTTGAATTAGATTTTATTATGCTCGAGGACTCGCAAAAAATCTTGTATTTTGGAATAATAAAAAAAAAGTTGAACTGTGTTCCTTTGATTATTTGAGCACAGATGGCAAGTTTTTATGGTGCTACCTCTTTAAGATATTTTAATGACCTTCACAGAGTGTTGTACGTGTTACCGAAAAAAGTTAACGAAACACGCTACTCGTTCTTTGCAAAATAAAGGAACGCGTTACCGACCTGCCTTACCTCAAAATAAAGGAAACCCGCTACCGTTACTGTTACCGATCAAATGTAACTCAAGTTACTTTTGCCGTTACGCGTTATATTTAAATTTACGGTAACAGCGCTTTTCTTGGCAATAGAGTTTTTTGACACTGAAACGAAAAACGTAAACCTAGGTAGTTGTTGCTAGTTGTTTTTTTTTGTTTTTTTTTTAAGAGGGTTTTTTTGCGCGGGGATAAAATACGCTAACAAACACCAAGTTTGACGCTGTGTCTTTGGTGCCATCAACTCAGAGCGTTGACTACGTCTGGACCTATGATAAAAAAAAAAGTACAGAAACACGAATGAATTTAAGTGCACTTATTTAGGTATTGGAAAACAATATACGTATAGAGTAACGTAACTACGTTACTTGAAATAGGTAACGTAACGAATTTACCGATTACTAGGGAGTTTTTGTAGATCGTATTGGCCGTCTCGCAACGTTCTCCGCAACCCGCTACGATAGCCGGAACTCTACAGTCAAGGCCATGGGCGCGCAGGTGCAGTAGCGGCTTCTTCGTTGCGGAGGGCTTGGCTGAGGGGGAAACGCGGTCTACGAAAATGTCCTACTGGTTTTGAAAAAGTAATGAGTACTTTCCTGCGTTACCGGAAAAAGTAATTACCGGTAACGCTGTTACTTGTAACGCGTCAGCGCCAACACTGCTTGACATCTCCACAAAGCTCACATCTAGTTATTTTCAATAAATTCATATAGGTAGAAAGTAAAATATTTTAAAACCACTTTTTCAAAACCCCAATTTTTTATTTCCTTTTTCATTAGTAGAAATCAATACTAGTGGCTTATTAGGAACTATATTTATGTCATGTAGTATTTTGTTCGTATGAGCGTAATTAAAGCCTGAACCATGACAGATGTGTGTTGTAAAACGGAAAACTTTGTTGAGGAATAAAACACCATTGTCGGCGGTGTTCGAAAATGCCGGAAAAGAATTTGAGACGTCCGGCCCGGAGCTTAGGCGAAAGGCATCTCTTCTTCTTTTTATTGTTGTCGCACCGGCTCCCGAGATCCACTGAGCGAGCCAGAGCGAGAGCCGCACGAGCAACTCGCGCTCACTGTGCTCGGTTCTGTGGCGCGCCCATTGTTTTAATTCTGAGCACGAATGATTTCTTTTTGAGTGAAGCAGGTATTAAGAGCTGCGACTCTACAGAATCCCCCCCCCTAGTTGCGTGGAGCAGAAAGTTTTGTTGAGCTCCACGTAACGATTTTGTTCGGCGGGTGTGGAGGACGGGAGGTGGTGGTGGTGTTTGTTGCACTAGGTGGTGGAACGGGGATAATGACGGGGGCTGTCACTGTAGAGGCCAAGTATGCTGGCTTGACCCTGTCCAGCGTGATGACGTCGTGGCGCCCGTTGATGTCGATGGTGCAGGTCTTGTCCGTTCGCGAAAGTACCTCAAATGGACCATCATACGGTGGCGTGAGAGGTGGTCGTACTGCGTCCCTTCTTACGAATACATGTTTGCATGTATTGAGATCGTCACTTATAAATATGTGCCGAGAGTTTGAGTGTCTAGGTGAGACTGGACGCAGGGAATTGAAAAATGTCTTCATGTCCTGAAGGTATGATGGGATGTCCGTTGGTTCAGATGGTATGCAGGTTAGGAATTCTCCAGGTAATCGAAGTGTGGTTCCATAAACGAGTTCAGCTGAGGTGCAGTCGATGTCGGCTTTGAAAGTGGCACGAATGCCGAGAAGAACAAGAGGAAGGTGATTAACCCAATGGGTTCGATCTTCTTTTGTCATTAGCGCTGCTTTGAGCTGTCGATGCAGCCTTTCAACCATGCCATTGGCAGCGGGATGATAGGCTGTTGTGTGCACGTGCCTGACACCCAATATCTTGGTGAGGGCTGTGAAGAAGGCGCATTGGAACTGCCGGCCGCGGTCGGTTGTAATGGTCGACGGACAGCCGAAACGCGCGATCCAGATGGAGATGAAGGCGTGAGCGACTGTTTCCGCTGTGATGTCGGCGAGCGGAACGGCTTCTGGCCATCGCGTGAATCTGTCCACACATGTGAGTATGTATCGAAATCCGTTTGATGATGGTAGGGGTCCTACTATGTCAATGTGTACATGATCGAACCTGGCATCTGGTGGGCGAAATGCGTGCGTTGGTGTTTTTGTGTGGCGAAACACTTCAGAGCGTTGGCATTTGTTGCATGTCTTCGTCCACAGACGGATGTCAGAGTTCATTCGGGGCCAGACGTACCGTGACGTAACGAGACGCTGCGTAGCACGGATACCCGGGTGATTTAGATCATGTACGGTGCGGAAGATAGCTTGCCGAAATTTTTCGGGAATGTAGGGTCGTGGTGTGGATGTAGATACATCGCAGATGATCTCGCAGGTGGCCAGTGGTAATCTGACGGGCTGTAGTTGAAGGGATGTGGAGGATACCCGTAGATCTTGTAGCTCGGTGTCTTCCTGTTGAGCCAAGGCCAATTCTGGGAAATTGACAACAGGAGATGAGGAGAT